TTTTTTTTTGTTTCCAAGACCTCTGGTGAGGGACCATGTGGAAAGCTTTTGGAAAATTCAACTATAGTGCATCACTGGATCCCCCTTGTCCATGTACTTGTTAACCCTCAAAGAACTCCAGCAGACTGGCAAGGAAGAATTTCCTTTTACCAAAACCATGCTGACTCTTCTCCAGCATATCATATTTGTCCATGTGACTGATTATTTTCATAGTTTCTAGGGTTGGAAGGGACCTGAGCAGATCATCGAGTCCGACCCCTTACCATGGCAGGAAAGAGTACTGGGGTCAAATGACCTCAGCAAGGTGTTCATCTAGCCTCCTCTTAAAAACCCCCAGGGTAGGAGCCAGCACCACTTCTCTTGGAAGTTGGTTCCAGATCCAACTTCCAACTACAGATTATTCTATACCATATAATTTGGGAATAATTTAGTAAAATCTAAATTGTTGCATTCATAGTGTTGCTTTACAATAAACAAAAAGGACAACGTAATTAAAATGTTATAGTTGATTATAAGTTAAAAAACTCATAAATAAGCATTTGCTCAGAAGATATCAGCACCTTCAGTGATTATAGCTAATGAGACAGGTAAGCATGCTCTCAAAAATCTTTCACAACACATTTACATACTTCACATTTGGACTAGAATTTTCTCTAGGCTAGCCCACTATTAAAAAAAGAGAAGTTTGTACTTAACTGGAAAATAACTTCAGTGTAAGATGTAAACTTGGTGTTAAAGGGACAAATGGCACTGAGCACACAAAGGAATTAGACCGTATTTCATATACAGTTCTGTCAGTACATACAGGTCAGCCCTAATAACCAAAACATATGCATTATTTCAATTATAGGCCTCATTTGACTAGGGACTGCTTAGAGGATTCGGTCCCAAATGAATTTTCATTCATGACCTAAAGTAGGAATGAAACCTGTGTCTCTAGGGGCATAGAAAACTGACAAGCCACTCTAGCAAGACCTTGTCTGAATACCAATCAAGATCTGACCTCCAAGTTTCGACCTCTAACAATGGCATGAAAGTTCAAAGTTAACATTAATACAATTCTTAAATCCTCCTGTGTCTAAGTATTGCTGGTCTCAAATTATAACTTGATATCATACATGCTGGATTACCTAGGGATAAAAGGATGTGCTAAGTACAGAGAGAAAGGCTTAACTTTGTTTCTGTTCTTTGTTGGCATGTGCCATAGACACTGGGTTAAATAAGTGAAGCACTGTTCTGGGTTTTAACTAGGCAAATTCTTAAAACGTTTATTGACTCTATGACTTTAAAAGTTATCAGATATTAATTATGGTAATAATAACATTAACAATATAAGTCATCATAAGTAATTTTCAGTTATGTAAAGTCAATGGTATTTCTGGATTCTGCATTTAATCGTCATAGGATAACATGGACAGAAAGAGATGGTAGCTGAAGCATACTGGGGCTGAAGGAAATTTAAAAGCACATGGTTCATTGGAAAGTAGGGTGGAACTCACAAGGACAGCCCCCTGCTCAAGCCAGGGTCATCCTTGACTAAACCAGCTGAGTCAAGTATCCGTCTAACCCGTTCCTGAAAATTTCTAGGAAAGAAGATTCCACAACTTCTCTCGGTAGCCGGTTCCAATGCTTGACCACCTGTACAGTCAAAAAGTTTCACCTAGTCTCCAACCTAAAAAATTCTTCTGCTGCAGCTGGAGGCAATTGATTCAGTATTGGGATCCAAATGAATCCTTCTGGAGAGTGTCCAACAGCATGAGATTTACTATAGCTGTTTTCTAAGACTATTTCAGCATGGTGCAAAACAATGTGATGCAGAGATGGGGCTGAACGTGCTGGCTCTTGTTTCAGAATCTACATAGTGCAAGGCTGCATTAATTAGCCCAGGTGTAGCACTGAACAAGAACAGCCACCCAACTTCTAGGTCTGAAGCTACTGCATGTACAGCTAGCTCTGGCATCTTTACAGAGCGC